GTTGGACATGTTCCGTCAATCTTATCATGCACTCGATCACAGTGTTCGCGACCGACAACCATGGGTATCCAACAGGTTCCTGATAAATGGCAATGTTGTGACACAGTCCGTATCTCTCTTACTATGTGCACCGGTATCGCTAGACCTAGAGGATGTGTAGTACAACGATAAATTATTCCAGCGCGCCCTTTCTTTACGACCATAAATGGCCTCGTCACTGATCGATTATCGATGTTCCGAACTGAGTACTGGGTAATCAAGGGCAGCCTGAGGAAGCGGAAGGAAGTGTTCCGTTCAACTCATTCCAAAATTTCTTACTGATTTTGTAGAAGTGCGTAGTCTCCTCGGCCAAGGACACTCACCTTCCATCGTCGACTATAGGTTCAATCTTCATAGCCTGAGCAGCGATCGACACTACCGAGGTAGCCGGTAGGGGTTTCGTTAAATACGAGCGCGCAATGGCAATACACCCATGGTTTCAGCAGCTTATATGGTCCCATCCGTCACAGAGAACCAAATATATATCCGTGTAGGAGACCATGATCAGCGCGATCTGGGAACATCTTGTCTTGAAGCAAGATAACCATCTTTACCAATCAAGTAACACATGTTGGAAAAGGAACAGGGAGGAGACTGTTGTCTTGGGCCCCTTCGATAGTTCACTGCCGTATCGAATTGATTTATCACAGCACAATGATGGAGTAGTGTGCAAAATATAGTAGTATTTCGTGAATAAAGTTTCAACTGAGTTGATTGCCTGTTACACTTAAGCTATAACATGCATCTTGATCACACGCATCATGGAGTCTCTTGGATAAACAAGCTTTGCTACCAGTCATCGCGGCTCGTCGTTTGAGTCTGCCTTCGAAGTTCGACGCTTCTTAACATCAGCATGGAGCCCTTTGATCCAACTACGCATCCTCACAGACGCTGTAAGTCCTCTTGATCGCCGTTAAGATGACCTCGACGAAACAATGATTGACCATGATACGGTCACAGATAATCCATTGACTAACACACACATTCTCGTCTCACCTCATCGCACCAAACGTCCTTGGCTAGGTCAGACTGAGCCCGCCGAGCCGTCAAACCTCCCCCAGTACGATCCCGCGTGTTACTTGTGCCCTGGGAACACTCGAGCGGGCGGTAAGGTGAACGAAATGTACACTTCCACCGTGGTATTCGATAATGATTACGCTGCCGTTCTTCCACCCCCTGGACCTGTCACACCTCAGGCTGCACATCCACTCCTAACTGTCGAGCCCATTCAGGGTGGGTGCGATGTTGTATGTTTCCATCCCCGGCACGATCTCAGTTTACCGACCTTATCTCTGTCGGACGTGGAGAATATCGTGAATGAGTGGACTCGTGTTTACATGAGGAGGGGGACTGAGCTTGGCATTAAATACGTGCAGATCTTTGAAGTATTCGACTTTGACCAGATCATCGCACAAGTCCTCATTTCATAACAGAACAAGGGAGCAATGATGGGGTGTTCCAACCCGCATCCCCACAGCCAAGTATGGTCGCTTTCCACTGTGCCTACCATCCCCGCGAAGGAACTTGCTTCTCTGCACAACTATGCCTTCACCACCCACGTACACTCTGGCGTTCCAACTGGGCCTGATGGCCATGCGTGCCTATTGTGCGAGTATGTGCACCACGAGCTGTCTGTTCCAGAAGACGAAGGACGCATAGTCGTTACAAATGAGCATTTCGTTGCGCTTGTGCCGTGGTGGGCGTATTGGCCCTTCGAAATCATGGGTGTGTTACAAGTCATTTGTAGCAAATGCTAGCTCTGAACACGACATCACAGTGCTCCCTCACAAACGACACATTTCGTCCCTTGTACATTTCACAGTTGATGAGAAGCACGCATTTGCAGACATCATGTCGCGTGTGACGAAGCGCTACGACAACATATTCTCCTGCTCGTTTGCATATGCAATGGGCGTTCATCAACGGCCACTTCCCCCACGTCGAGATGATGATGGGATGTATGTGAAAGATGCAGACGATATTGCACATCTGCATGTGCACTTCGAGCCTCCACTCTTACGGAGTGCTAGTGTACGCAAATTCTTGGCGGGGTGAGTTTCACCACAAATTATTGGCTCGTTGACATAAGCTAATATGATTGATAGTTTTGAAGTCATGGCGGAACCGCAGAGAGACCTTACCGCAGAGCAAGCTGCCAAGACACTAAGAAATTGTTCTGAAGTTCACTACCTCCTCGCTGCAGAGTAGTGACATGATAACACCCGCCTGGACAAATGATTTCATCACTTCTGTTATAGAAGTTCTTCTCTGGCTATTACTACAGTCATCAACAGATTTCTGGTTCTTTGCCATGCTTGAAAAATTAGATATGACTAAAATAGCTTTGCAGGCGTACATGAGGCTCAGCTGTTAAAGGGAACATGCCGACCTTACTTCATTCGACACGCTAGTGAATAGTGATTCCGGTACCGAAGATGAGAATGACCATGCAACTCGGCACGTCAAGCAGACAGTCTCCCCTGACGACGCACAGTCGACAAGGCCAGCAAGACCGGTAAGTACTTAGCCCAGCAGTATCGCACTGGTCACCAACATGCAAAACCAATCGATCGCGATAGAAAAATGCAAAACATCCGGGCATGTAACAGACAAGGTTGGTGTCAAGCTCAGGTCCATCAAAAAAGAAAGCGAACAAGCGATACAATTGGTAGTCAGCGAGGATGAACAAGACTGTAACTACCCTTTGTTTGGCCGGTACAGGGGTCGTGTATGAGGATTGTAACATCATATCGTGTATCAATAGTACTTCTTTCAAAGTTTACAGTTTCAAGACTGTAGATATTTAGAAACACGAGGTTGTTCGCGACCCCTTCACGCGTGTTACAATAATTGTTGTTGAAAATTCTGTATGTGACGCATGAAAACGCATTGTGTTTAAGAAAATCAGCAATGGTACACGAGGTCGAACGGTACTATACGTAATTGCAAAATTAGAATGAGAATGAGGATGAAGATGGACGCTGATACCAGCAATAGATCAGTGAGTTGACAGTGAAGTAGATAAAGTCCAAGAAATGCAGGATAAACGTGTGTCATGGTCAGTATATGATTGTAGCTGACTTGGGTTTGACTAGAATCGGTGCATGCGATTCTGGAGACGGTGCTTGCATTCACAAATGATTTTTCGCCCTTTGTATTGATGCCGAGGGTCAAGGATCTACAGCTGGAAATGCGATAACACTAGTTGGTGTGCGGACTGACCGGAAAACCTAGGTAACCTTTTATGAGTGGAACCAAGGGCGGTTGCGTAGACGTTTGAGGTTTTGGGGTCAGTCATACTTTCTTGTGATCACGATGCTTAGCTGGTGTGCCTCCCTGATGTCGTCGACAGAATTAAATCCTAATATGGAAGGCAGTTGAACTATGGGGAAGACATTGTGATCCAATCCGCCTTGCGTGATATGTGATGTTGGGTTAAGTTCTTCGTATCGTCCCGAGGACAAATATCTATGATATCACCTGATGGCCCTGCCAGGGGTATTATATGCTCATGCTATCCGTTCGACATATCTTCCCTTGCCACTCCTACGCGATGCCATCAGTTCAGAGAAGTCTGGAGAATATGGATGTTAGCATACCGTGCTTCGTTTTCAACCTCTACCAATTTCCGTGCATACATCTCTGCGGCACGTCGGTTGATGTCGCTTGTCTCTTGTGTGTCAGGAAAACCGATGTCCCAGTAGCCGGGTGGTGTCTTGGCACGATACCAATGGTGCCGATGTCGTGATATCTCTTTCTTGTGGTGTTCGATGTCTTCGCGGTTTTCCTTACAGTCTGAGAGGCTGTCAAAGGATAACCGGCGTTTCTTAGTAGGTGTTGAGGAGGGTGAACGCCAAAGTGGTTTCTGGAGAGGTTTGGGCAGTGGTCCAACGCCTTCATAGTACTATTTAGGACGTATGGAGATTGAGTAACGATTTTTCGAAAAATGAGACACGCACACCACGACAACATTCACAATCGTCAGCAAGCATCTGTTTTCGCCCCTCGCGGCTCTTGACCACTTCATCATACTGAAAGTCCACGCCGTGATTGCGTTCTTTGCTTATAGTGAAGCGTGAATTGATAGTGGTCGCATCACTGTTGGTTTGAAATCAGGGAGTCAGCAAGCAGCAAGCATGGTCTTGCGGGGACTTACGTAGTCTGGGCATATCTCCCGCGTCTCTTGGGTGGATCTCGATGCAAGGTGGTACTCTGTAAGACAGACGTGCCTGCATTAATAAGATTGGTGAAGTTGCCAAATTATGTGGTTTGATAGGCACGCACCGGTTGCTAGTTCTTCGCCAGTAGAGTGTTCGTGTATCGGGAACGGGGGTTTGAATGGAGTGGCAGACCGCATCCCAACTTCCGTTGAGATAGTCGTTTCTCTACGCGAAGCGTGGAGAGTTGATGGTACCTCCTGCTGCCTGCCCATAGCATCAGAAGCTAATGCAACATCAGTTGAGTATAAAGACGCGTGAAAGCCTGTGTACGTACGCGTCTTGGACGTCTGCTTCTCCTCCTCGTCAAACGCACTCAAGTCCGGACCTATTTCTTCAAATTTGCGTCGTTTGTCGATGCTAGAGGCTCTCCGATAGACATCATAGTTACTATCCTTCAGTAACGGATGCACCTCCTTGCCACAATCGGAACTCTCGCAAAGCCACTGTTTGACAGTTCGCCACTTTTTGTAGTCGGTCTTGTACCTCTCGGCGGCGCGCTCTTTGGCGGCAAGTAAAGCATCATACCGGTGTTGGAGGTGTGAAAGTTCGGCCTGTAGAGATGATATCTTCAACAACAATGTGGACGTGTCATGAGTGTTCGAACCAGACATTTAAACGTATTGATGCATGTAACACGGAACAGTGAGCGGTAGCTAGTCACTGAGCACGATCGTAAATATTAATGACCGGTGACCATTGTCTAATTGAGTATGCAAGAATATTATGTAATGGTGAGTACTAAGTACGTATTGACAATCCAGGTACCCACTGGTTGTGCAAAGAAATGGCTAGGAAATAGCCTGCAGCAAACTGGGCTATTCAATTACGGTTGAATTTTGAAAGGTTGATGATTATAAAGGGGATATCCGTATGTTCTCTGTTAGACTTGTACGGTCACATCCACCGTCATCTATCGTCGGGCCTGCGATCATCAGACGGAATCTGAAGCTTTTTATTACTATGCCTGCCGCCAAAGTCATCAGTGAAGAGCCTTTGGACAACAAGGACGCAAAGTGAGAACGTTATCTGTGGAGGTCAACTAATATCTCATTCATGCATAGATGGATCCGTCTCAAGAAGATTCATTACACTGATCAAGACGGAAAACAGGTATATTTATCATGCTCTCGGGGGCGTGACGATCTCGCTCATTCATCGGTAAGAGACTTTGGGAATCTGCTGAGCGCACAACTCGCAAGGATTCTGGAATAGACGGTGAATAACATCCGTGCTTCCTCGTTATACAACTGCACAAACGCTCGTCCTTTACAGGCGTCGCTGTCCTCGCTGTCCTTCGCTCCAAGACCAAGGCTTTCCCCCTCTCGACAGTCATTATAGAGCAATACCGTCCTCCTCTCGACAACATCGTCATTGGCATGCTACACTTCCCTACCGTTATCGATCTATTCCCTACTCATTTTGTTCTGTTTTGATCATAGAACTCCCTGCTGGTCTCGTCGATGCAGGAGAAACAGCAGAGGCAGCAGCCATTCGAGAATTGAAGGAGGAGACAGGATACGAGGCCGATATGACTACCGAACCCGAGTCCTCACCGATCGTTGTCAGTGACCCAGGTCTGTATATTCGGTCAGATATATTGGTGCACATTTAAGATAGTTGCAGGAATGACTAATTCCAACATGAAACTCGTGGTTGTAAGTGTCCTCCTAGAAGATAAACTCGAAACTCCTACCCCGTGTCTTGATGATGGGGAACATATTATCACTCGCGTCGTAGAGCTAGACCAACTCGATACCGTGCTCAAAGGTGAGTCTCGCTCTTCGATGGAACGTGTTCCTGATCTTGAAATTCTCAAGCATACGACAAAGAGGTGACATTATTGAGCAGGAAAAGTACAGACCTTCACTCACCCAACACCCAGGGCTTTGTAGTAGATGCTAGGCTCTCTCACTTCGCAGCTGGTTATGCAATGGCGAAGAGGATCAGTATCGGCGCATTCCCCTGAGATGCTAAGTCAGGTGGTCCTGACGGTACTTGGTCTCGCATGATGGACCGAATGATATAGAAAAGTGGATCATCGCTTGTCCAGCATTCAGACTAGCGACATGTACAGCACTGGCTAGCATCATACTATGTACTAGTGATACGATTTTTTTGCGCGTTCAATGTGTGCCCTCAACTTCTGCTGCTTCTCCCTCAAGGACGCCTTCTTCTTTCCCCGTACCGCACCGCTGCTCAATATCATCATAATCGGCTTATTCCTTGCCTTCTCGCGATTTGTGGAGCTGCTTGGAGACTCTTTATTTTTCTTACCCTTCAGCGAGCCGTACTTTTCTCGCCCTTCCCGACCCTTTTCAATACTTGCTATGCGTTCCGCGTAGTCAGCTTTAGCCTTTTTGCGCGGACCAAGGATATCGTTCTCAGAAATGAATGTGCCATCAGATGGCCCAGTTTGCATGGCCCTCTTATTAGCTTCAAGGGCTTCCAGCTTCCGTTTCGCCCTGGAACCACCACCTGATTCAATGGCTTTTGTGGCAGCCTGTATGCGCAGGTCATTCAGTAATGCAAAGTCTGCCGGCGTAAGGATCTGCAATGCATGTCAGTGTGTCGCACGAGGGGTAGAAGGAATAACAGTTCACTTTAGTAGTTGCCAAGGTTGAGATTCGATTGGGGTTTGGATCGGTCTCCCCAGGCGGCTTAGGAGCTGACTCCCGCTCGTCTTCACTATCACTAACTTCCACGTTATCACCTTCTGAGTCGACATCTATCCATCCTTCAGACTCAGATTCCGAATCGGAATCGGTTTCGACATCCCAGCCTTCCCAAGCGGTCGCTTCATCGTCCTCCCCGTCATTATTGGCACCGCCCATCTCCTCTTCGCGAAGTTTCTGCAGGTGGTCTTCCAGAAGCTGTCGAGTGGTTTAGACATATTTTTTATCGTAAAAGACGTCCATATTACCATTAATCCTTCGATGTCGACTGCGGCATCCGCACTATGTCCAAACGGCAGTGGTTGACCACCTTTGCTCATACCTATACTGGCATCTTTTCCCTACACGAATATTCAACGTTGGCAATGGAGAGTTGAAAGGGAACCGCTTACTCTCTCCCGGCGTTTGAGCATACCAGGGTTCACCTCTCGGTACAACTGCAACAATCCTCTTGCAGCAGCTGTAACTGCCTTATCTCGACTTCTCCTATACTCTACAAGATCACCCAACAGATCTTCCTCCATTGCCCATGGTTGTCTTCTACAAACCTCCCTGATGGAATTGATTCCTGCAGCAATTACCTCGCTTCCTACTCCAGGATGCACAAATTCGGCTGCAAGCTTCTGCACGACCGGGGTCAAGGCATCTGGTGGTGTAAGATCGTGGACAGACTGCGCCAGCGCAACGAGAATCGACGGGACGCGAAGTTGGTGGTAGGTGAGGTATTTGACAATGTAAGTATAGAAGCTTAGAACGCAAAGTTTATGGGCGCCCATCACCCGCGAGAGGAGCTGCATGATGAGAATTTTATGTTCAAGTGAGAAACGTTTGTCGTAGCGACTTAGGTTGTCATATAACTTCTCAGCAAACGTCTGTGGGTCATTGAGAAGTTGGAGCGCCGGAAAATTCGGTGTCGTGGGGGCATTTTTGTTATACTTTTTCTGTATACGGATTAGCAATGAGATGGAGCCAGAAAAGTATCTCTGAATAAACGGGGTACCTTCTTTGCAGCATTGAGCTGTTTCTGAAGCTTTTTATCATCGCCCCGTCTCTTTTTGTTGACTTCGCGACGATGGTGAAGAGCTCTGACATCAGGACCCTGAAACAAGTGTGAATGATATTCTGGCAAGGCAGACGTTACCTACCTCATCGTCCTCATCGTCACTGTCTTCCTTTTCGTCGTCACTTCCTAAAAAGAAGTGAATCGAAGCACTCTGTACCTTCATCACGGGATGAAAGCATCCAAGCGCAACGATAGACACAGGTTTAGCGTCAGTCCTATTGAGGATGGAAGTCAATTCTATCTAGCTGCATCAATGACAAGTGGCATACCATATTCCCTTTCGCCACAACTCCTTTGTCAATATCACTGCCCACATAGCGTCCTCCCCATTATTGGCGGTTTTATCACTCGTGGGACCTGCGGATCTGAGCTTTCCCTTATCCCCAACGACTTCAGCATCCATTCCCCGTTCGACCATGGTGAAAAGCATGGCTTGCACAGCACGATTCAGTTTGTGATTTTTGGTTCGGAGATTGGCAGTACGGATATCGGAGAGAATAGTTTTGCGGATAAAGGCTCGCAAAGTGGAGGAGGTTGTACGAGGGAGGAGCGGAAAGAGGGACTTGAGGAGTCTAGATCGAAATTTTATTTAGAGGACATAATCCATCAAGGCACTCACTCGATGGATGTAATGACATCTTTGTTGCGCAACATAACAAGGTTTTGAACGAGGGTTTTTCTGGTATCGGGCGTGAGGGTGCCATAGTTTTCGAGGAGAAGGGTAGACAAATGAGATGGAAAATCTTTGGTTTCCTTGGGATAACATTGTGCGACCTGAAATTGCAATGTCATCAGCGAAGTAAGAAAATTGTAAAAGATCTTTAAGACGCACTTGAGATATAAATGAGACTAGTTCACGAAAATGCTGAGCCTGTTCATCAGGATTTATCTGAAATATCTGTCTGATACTGTCATAGTGGTTCCATTGCTGTAGGAACTCTTCCTTATACGACACTGGGTCACGTTTGATGAGGTTTTGCAACTGAGGGAGATTTGAGGTGAGAAGGACGCCACGACCACCCATTACAACAGACAGTTAGATGATGCGAGTGAACAGCAGCGACAATAGACAATCTCCAAGGAGGCTAATTTGCAGCTTACATCATCTGTAGTAGAGCAGAGAACCTAATTCTTGTAATCAATCCATTGTAGTAATTGTGGTAAGTAATCCAAGCGGAAGAGTAGACTACAATGCCCCGTTGAAACTAAAAGCATCACGCAAATCGGAAATCCGAGCTTGAGTTTTGGAGCTGTATTGATTCGTCAATTTGATGCCAACAGAAATTGCACTGTCACTCACCTCGAAGCTGTGGCTGATGCAGCATTCATGTAAGCGGTCCAGAAAGACTTGCCAAAAATTGCTGCTTTCTCGCGCGATTTTGGTTCATCCGAGTTTGTTATGAGCTCTTCGAATGACGCACGATCTAGTAGAGTGAGTCTGATTATCTACCGCTCGATTGCAGATGCTCACCTTCTATGTCTATAAGAGAAAGAAAGTGCATCGTTTCTGTTGCGAGCACGTCATTTTCATGAAGGACATGTTCTTTCGCAAGCTTTGAATGTAAATCTGCCAATAACTTTGTTTCGACAAAAGCACTCTCACCTTTTCCCTTACCGCCAGCATTGCCGTGAGACGCGCCTGATTGTGGTCCTGCGGCTGAGTTGTGGTTGTGGGCCCTGTATCTGCAGCGTCTTTGATCGGTTCGAAGTCGGACACGGGTTCAGCTTCGTCGTCATCTCTGTACAACGGCATATAAGCCGATGTGCTGGGACCAGCCTTCATCTTCCCCTTGGCTCTCGCGGGAGCCTTGGAAGAAACTACGTTCTTCGCAGCTGAACGTGATGGTCCAACGCTGGGGGCATTATCCCTAAATGTCAGTTCAACGGGGAGGTTGCCGCTGAGGCACGCATCCGCTTGCGGACCAAGCTTGACCATAATATCAGGTCACCAACAAAACGAAGACTAGGCCTTAATTACCTTCAAGTAATCATTGGTCCAGCCAGACGCAGAGGCCTCTCGTGCGATCGCAAAAATATCAGCGCCTAGCATCGCACTTATTATACGGTCGCCATCCACTCCCTTACCCACCCCAAACAATGACAATTGGTCATGCCCACTCTCACGAACCTTCGCCCGGTTGCGACCCGCGTATACATCTTTGAAATGTCCGAGGGGGATCCTATCCATGGAGGCTGACATCTCTCCGAATAGTCGGATTGCCTGCTGCGCCTCCAGGGTGTACAGCTGGCGAAAAACTGTTCCACCTCTCGAACAATTGTCACAACCTTTCGGGCAAAGGTGGGAATCAAAACGCTCGTTGAAATGCGCAAGGATTAATGATCGTCGACAGTCAGCCTCGTTGCGGCAATACTGGGCCACCGCTGAGAGATCTTCCAATTGTCGCTTTTTCTCCTCCGGAGTCCGAGCCGGTCCTTTATCGTTGCGGTCGCTATTGATCAACTGATGTCGTGACACAGCGTCCCTGTGCGCATAATCTGGAAGAGTATAATGCATCAGGCAGCGTAGTGTAATCACCATTGAAGTCGCTTACAAAGAATGCAGTCTGCCGGATCGCCGTCGCGTCCAGCGCGTCCAGTTTCCTGGTAATACCTGAGACAGTAAGCAACTTCTCAATGAAGCGTACTTGTAGACTCGTGACGTACCCATCCATCGACTTCGGTAACGTTGAGTGGATTACGAAGCGCACTATTCGATGCGGTCAGACAAAGGCCGGAGTGAACAAACACAACTTTACCATCCGGTTTGTCGATTCCCATCCCAAACGCGATCTAAGATAACGTCAGAACTCAATGATGCCACACTGTGAGTACCATACCGTTGCTACAATTATCTTGCAGCTGCCACTTTGCCATTCTTCTTGGGTGGTGCTGCGCTCTTGTGAGTCCATACCGGCATGGTAATGTTTGGCAGATAAGCCATAATCGTTTCGCAGTTGCTCAGCAAGTTCCTCACACTCCAACTTCGAGAAGCCGTACACAATGCCGGTATGGGTAGCATGTTGTGACTTGATGAAACCAGCAATGGCTTGAACCACCTTCTTTTTCGTGGACGGTTTAGGCTGTACTGCATAGTACAGGTTGGGGCGGTTGAAAGACTGCATCAGGAATAAGGGGTCACGTAAACCTAAGCGTGTACGAATATCCTGGATCGCGGTCTTGTTCGCGGTTGCGGTGAGTGCCATGATGGGCACATCACGGTACCGCTCACGCAGCATATGGAGCTCTGCATACTAAAGATACAAATAAGAACTTGTTAATGCACTCATGGACCAAATTGTGCAAACTTACAGCATCTCGAAAATCCCGCCCCCAGCTCTGAATGACATGTGCCTCATCAATGACAAAGCGCGCGATTTGCTTGTCTTCATACAGTTGGGCTAGAATATCTTGCATGGCATTGCTCTCGCGTAGCTTTTCGGGAGTGATATAGCAAATGTCGGGTTTTTGCTGGCTTCGAAGGCGACGCATGACATCCCGCGAGTCGTCTACGGTCCTTAGGGAAGACATGCAGTCAACATCAACATGCTTCTCTCGCAAGGATGCCACTTGATCGGCGATAAGTGCAACGAGTGGTGATATGACAAATGTTACTCCCTGGGTCCTACCAGTCTTACAGACTGCGGGAAGTTGATAACAAAGACTTTTCCCACCGCCGGTGGGCATTAGGACGAAGACATCCTTTCCGTCCAGCGTGGCGTTGATAGCTTCAAGTTGGTTTTGCCTGAAGGAGGTCAGCCCAAATACGGTCTTCAAGACCGAAACTGCCTCGGCATAGTAAGGGGTTGATGTATTATCGAGGCGACCGGTGTGCACAGAGGGAGTGCATGGTGCATCTGCACAATCGAGCGTCGGAGTATTCGAGGTTAAGGTATCCAGTTGCAATGTTGAGGGCTCGTCAAGGCCCTCCCAAAGATCATCGCTGTCAGGTACAATTAGGGTCTCAGCCGATACGTCAGTATCTTCTGGCTCAAGCGGGCCGTCGACATCGATATCTTCTGGTTCGAGGACACTCCCAAAATCGGTGGGCGCAGATGGCGCAAGAATAGATGTGGATGGAGCTAAAGCCGGCTCGCTGACAGGGTTGAAGCGAGCCAGGCGTTCTTGGATAGCTTCGATGCGACCTTCAATGTGAACCCTACGTAGAGTAAGCAGGGAGGTTCACACAGTACAGTACACTCACAATAAAAACGAAATTTCGAAAATGTCTAACGGCCTGTTCCCGTGTTCTGATATTGCTGCGAGTAAATAATCGCGGACTTCGCGGTTTCGGGCAAGTATTAGTTCCAGAAACCCTCGCGATCGCTGTTAAATATATATTAGAGTTACGGGGATGTAAAATAAGAGACAACAAACGGAGTCTAGGTCCATATTCTTGACGAGCTGAGTACCTGCATCAGATTGTGCAGTTTCTGAAGAGGCTGGTAGTGCAGCAAACAGATCAAGGCGAGATGGCACATTTGAAGCAGGGTTTGGGTTCGATGCTTCGACATCGCTTGGGATTTCAGGCGTCCATTGTCGAGGAACGGCGCGAGATATTCCCTTTGATGACAAAGGAAGGGTATTGAAAATGTTTTCTTTGTTAACGCGATTACTTTCCTTGAGCCGCTTTGAGGCTGATTGTTGAGCTCCGTCGGGGACATCAAGGGGCTGACGCTTTCTGGAGGGTACTGGACCTTCCATAATCTCGATGGTGGGTTCACGACATAAATCGATTAGATCCCGGTGAAGCGGAGCGGACAGTGGTGCTGTACGAGGGTTCATCATCTTCCTGCCAAAATTTGGTGTTGCGAATGATGGAAGTGGAGAACTCGAGCCTGACGTTTGGCGAACTGCGAGTTACTTATATAAATAGCTGCAGTCTTCATCCTAAATACATACTTACCATTGGGATTTGAGGAAGAGTGAGAGACTCCCAAGGCTGGCTTGAACTTTGATGATGAAGCCTGACAACAGGATCAGAATGATGGGCAAAGCAATGACCCGCTCGAATTTGCAATGGCATACCTTTGGCAATATGTTGCTCGAGATCATGTTTGCGGTCCTCCTAACACTGTCTAGGTTATTCTGTGTCCCCGCCATCTTGATAACAGGGATGAGCAGATAAGAATGACCGGAGGAAGTACTTGATGGCAGGCCGACCTATAAGTTGTCGGCGTGAGACGAGTGGCTGAAAAAGTCAGTGAGACTGGATTGATTCGGATAATCGATAGCGATACGAAAAATTGCCTCGAGGTCAAGTTGTAACGCGCGCGGGTCACGAATTCGAATAGTCTAGCAGCACCAAGAACGGCTCTTGTCCCATTCATTAACGTAAAGTCTGATGTTCGGCTCGTCCCGATTCCCGAAGCGCGTCAGTCACACGTGACCGCGACGTGCATATTAGAGTCGCGTTCATCATCGACATCGACGACAACAACAACGTCAACGATCATGTCAGGGCAATACTGGTTCCCGAATATGCCAATACCAGAGATTATGACGGCTCTATCAGAATGGGGCTTGAGTGTCAGCAACGAGCAACTCGTCAGGCCCTCCTCTGACTTTGTCACTGGCGTGTACAACGCCTGCTTGGAGCAAGTCACATCCATATCTCCAAACGTGCTTCACAAACCAACCCAACGTGCGCTGGCCTCTCTCGATGATGCCAACCCCGTGCGTGCGTTGATTATATGCGTGGCCATCTATATCTAATTGTGCGTACTCAGGATCTCTACAACAACGCTATCTCACACAATATCATGCTCTACCACCTGTAAGATCTGCCCTCTCTTTGTTATTTTTGTTGACACAAAAGCGAGCAGGACTCGCTTTGCCACTTCTGCACGCATTATGGACTTCAGCTCACGAGACCTGTCCGCACCAGAACCGGAGCGTACACGGTTCATTCTCTCAGCATTTATCAACTTTGTCAAGTTCGCAGAGCAATGCACCACATTTATCAGCAACGTCCGAGAAAAGTCTGCACAGGTCATAGAAGAGCGCGAACAAGTTATCCAGGAACTCTCAGAAGTTCAGCACAATCTCGCCGTGCTCAAGTGAGATCCTTCATTTATCTCTAGCATCCACTTAGCTCACGATTCGTAGAGCACAACGTGCAAAGGACGAGCCAAAATGCGAACAGCTCAAGGAAGAGAATGCAGCCATGACCACCCAACTCCTTGCGGCGAAAGAGGTTCACACAGGACTCACCAAGGAGATTGAGAGTCTAAAGATTGAAAGGGCGCATCTCCAAGCTCGAAACGAAACTGTCAATTCGGAGTCTGCTCTCCTAATGGACAACAATTCTCGCACCCGATCGCGCATTGTGCAGTCTCCGGAGCGTATTAGGCGTAATATCATGACTATGGGGACTACAGCTATTGAAGATAAAAAGACGGTTGCATTGCACGAAGCAAAGGCACGAGATCTACAGGCCAAAATTTCGGCGCTCGTGAATATCGAAAAGGTCACATTTCTCGCTGTGTTCAGTGTGGTTTTGTCTTAATTATCCAGTCAGGATGTCCGATCATGTATTGAGCAGCTACAGACGACAGAAAAGGAGGTACAGCTCCTCGAAGGATCACAAAAGGAGCTCGCAGAACTCAAAGACAGTCTTGAGTATAAGAAAGTCGAGCGTGGCGAGCTGCAGAAGAAAACTGAGGTAGGTCGTGACACATTCTTTCAATTACACCTGCCAATGCGTGCTCCTCAGCGAGTACATAAGCAACTTGGAAACGCGCAGGAGAAGCTTGAGAGGGCGCAGAGACACGCAGAAGAGAAGCGACAGGCCAGTCAACAGACAGTTGAGCGCCTCCAGCGAGATTACGAAAAGATGGACATCGAGCGGCGAGAAAACGACAAGCAGGTGGAGGAACTCAGGATGGAAGCGGGCGACATAGAAACAAAGGTGGGTCTTGGATCTTGGCCCTCTCACCCTTGCTTCCTAATGGTCCTTCGCAGATGGCGGAGCATCTGAAGAAGAGTGAAGCAGAACTCAACGAGCTACTCACAGAGTATTGGAAGCTCCGCCACGAGACAGGTAATTTTTTTACTCTGTGTTTACATTTATCACTCAATGATATCCAGAGGTATACATGGAAACACTCGCGAACAAGCTAAACATGAATGTTTCTTCAGATTGAGGAGTATACCTGCCGGGCCTTGAAGCCTCGTAATATGTAGGTCAACTTGGATTTATGGTATTGTATCAATTACATAGTCAGTGGCAATGGGGCAGGACGAAATCATCGTTTTTTCCCTTTCTGCGTCATCTTTAGTAGGCAATTCTGGCAATACCATTTCTTTGTTGAACTGGGGACTGCACTAAGGCCAGTACACGGCAAGTGGAACTGAGAATGAGTGTTAGAAATCGTTAGAGGAACGCCTGATCGATCAATCCGCTTACCCATTCCAACTTGCAAGTATCGCTGTCACAAGCAATCATCTATAATACAAGCCATGTGAACTTCATCCAAAGTAAAGTCAAACACAACGCTACGGACCGTCTCGTATGACACCTGGTTACAATAACAATACCTCGGCTCATTCGGATCTGCTTGAGCTTGAGCTGGAATCTTCAGCTTCACACTCCTCGTCGTACGAGTGGCTGGTATTTTCAAAACTTCCTCAGGGAGTGGTGGCGGAGTCTCAGATTCTGGCTCCGGTTTCTTGCGCGCCTTTCTACCCCTGCCAGGTCTCGCAGACTCTGTAGATAGCTCTTCTGTAGATTCTTGAAGAAGGATGGTGGAAAGCTCTGGGGATAGTGAGGGCGTAGGGCTACGTTCCATACGGGTCGGGCGTACCCAGCGCGGTACAACAAGGTCAGGAAGAAGTATCGGTGCGAGATGCGTCCCTGGACGAATTCCAAGAGAGATGGATGCCTCTTGCTCCTTGATAGCTTGATCCAAAAGGCGGATATGTCGGTCAACCTGTGTGACAGATTAGATATATAAAATCGGAAGAAAAGCGGGAGTACCGTTTCATAAGCAGTTTGTGCAATATTCACCTTCTCCTCTGATGCACGAAGGGCCTCTTCCGATACCTGCGCGATATGTTGCAGCAATATCCGAGTTGTTTTTCCTGAAGAGAATGGCTCGATAGATGACTCCAGACTTGGTGCGATAGAAGCAACGGGTCTTGCATTATGTGCGTCATTCAGTACTTCAACGGGCGAGTCAATGTTGACTTGTTCGTCTCGAGGTGGCAAGCCTGCTGCCTGAGGCGAATCCGCCTGCATGGCCTCTGGATCTGACATAGCTGGTATGGTCATCTTGCTCTGCTTTGCATCGAAGATCATACCCCGCTGCGATGTAAGTTGTATACGCAGCGTAATATATTTTCGCACATTGTCCAATAAGTCTGCATGGTAGGCTGGAAATGCACAGCTACAACTTGATCATACACGAGGGGGAACTTAGTTACACGTACTGTTACTTTGGTCATCTAGTTCACGTATGAGTGTGTACTGGCGGTGAAGAGACAATGGAAGTTGCTCGAGTACTACGACATCCAGTTCAGTGGATTGTTCTATCAGAATAATCTTGATTGGCGTACTTTCATGATGTTCCTCCTTGAATGCATCCCAAATCTCGAGTTCCTTCCTCCGTTCTTCGGAGTTATGTTCTTCTCCAGCAGTATCAGCATCCGACGCACGCTCTTCGTAGCGCTCCTCCTCAGCAGGAACAGCCTGAGAACGTCGACGCTTGCGAGACATAATAGTGTTTCACAAATTCGCGGACCGCTGCGGACCTTGACCGCTCGACAACAACTGAGCACGTGACTAATTAGGGTTAGGCGAATGCATGGCTTCGGCAACACCAGCAGTGACTGCGGCTAGTTTCAACTGCAAATTCTCGACTCCACTGCCGTTTCCTGTGGGGGATCAGTGCATCTTTATTCGCAATTTAAGGTTTCCAGCTATGGTTACAGAAGTTATCGAAATGCATATTATACTAGGCGCCATAATCTGCAGTGCGTCTGGAACAAGTTTGGAACAAGGAAGTAGTAGGTTAACTGCAGATGCGCATGCCGCATGCATGCACAGCATGCGACTGGCTGCCCGGAAAACACGCAGAGAACTCCCCCACAACAAAGGCTTTGTATTCAGTCTTATGATACTCCCGTGTCCATACTCCCGTGTCTTGTAGGAATTTCTCTCATGAGCGTATTTAACACTATCGTGAACCCAACACTGGGAGTTCTCGAGATAGCTGGTGCTGCATCAGGTGTTCCGTACGTCCAAGGGGCTGGGATGGCACTCCAAGCCATCAACACCGCTTGCAACCAAGTGGCCATCCACAAGGTGCGCTTTTCTCGCTTTAAAACTTACTCCAACTTAAGACACAACATCATCTCTGTCAGCGCAAGTCTGCCCAACTTGCTGACAGATGCACTTCGTTGCTGAACTTGATCAGTGATCACGCAGTTGGACCCGCTAGCGATGAGATGCGATCATCCTTAGAAGACGCTGAATTGTGTGTCGTTTGGCTCCCTAATCTTCTTGTTGGAAAAATGTTCATACCATTGAGACATTGTTCTGTATGCTGTACGAGACCGCATACAAAAGTGGTCACGATATAACAAAGTGAAAAGTTTCTGTATGTGTCGCGGGCTATCATGAGCTTCCATGCGCTCACGCAATGCCTTAGTCAAGAGCTCTCAGATAGAAAACGACCTGGATAGGTGCCAGAACGATGTGAACGCAGCTATGGAGCGTCTGCACGTAAGATCACTCCTGCTACTTGTGTTCATATGTTGAAGCTTTTGACAGGTCAAAAATCCCCTGTCTGTCCTGATCATGCAGAAACAATCTATGGACCTTATGAAAATGAATCAAGATCGCATCGAGGAAAAGCTGGCACAGCTGATGATATCCCCACAACAGATATTGGACGCAGTCCAACGGCACAATGCTGGCGGTCGGGATGCCCTTGATCTCATGAGAACCGGTCAGGAGGCAAGTTCTGGGAGCGCTTGATGTTTCTCCTTCTTCGATCCTCATTACACCTTTACAGCGCTTGATACAACTATGCTTACAATTACCGCGTGAGAACTCCCAGTCACCGGACCGAACGTTACTTGGGGAACCGATGGTTGAATCCCCATCACCCTCCCGTTCTTGCTCGCTAGAAATGACAGTGCAAACTCAGATACAAAGTGCTTTGACTGATTTCCGGCGTCTAACAAAAATTCCTCCGACACTCAAAGTCTTGAACAATCAGGTCAAAAAGGTCAGCGGATCCATTCCGATATGCTCTGGAACGTACAGCGACATCTGGCAAGGAGAAATGTTAGGAGAGAAGGTAAGCTGGTCCTTGAAGATGCTACGTAACTGGATGACTGATACCTCCAAGGTCGCACTCAAAACCTTGCGCAATATCACTGACCCTACGAAAGCCAAAAGAATGACCAAGGTATGTCGTAATCTTCGTTTACATGACTCAACTATCATTAACGTGTTGTATAGCGCTATGAGCACGAAATGAATGTGTGGGAAAAGCTTAAACACGACAACATTCTGACAATTTACGGTGTCATCACTAACTTGGGACCTATTCACATTGTAAGATCTCTGCCCCTGTAATTATGTTTATCACCTGATAAAAACTCTACGCTCCACGCAGGTGTCGACGTGGCAAGAAAATGGCAATGTACTAGAGTATATCATGCTGAAATGCAGCACATCCCCATTCTTACTTAATTGCGCTCAGATATCGCATCAAGAACCGTGACATCAACCCCCTTACTTTGGCAAGTATGCTAGTAGCCTGACCATTGCCTCGAAACTGATCTTGATAACACTCAGCTCGCACAAGCCGCAAGAGGCATCGAGTATCTTCATGGCCGCAACATTGTTCATGGAAATCGTGAGTGCATTTCTGTACTTCGTGGGGACAAATTGTTTTGACTTTACGAGTAGTGAAATGTGTAAGTCGCTATGATTCACAAGCAGATATGTTCGTTCACAGTTTCGGGCCAGAATAATATGCTGGTCTCCTCTAAAGTGCGTGACCTTCTCCACTTTAGTTAATAGGTCTGACTCAGTTTTCGATGCAGGGTGTAGTATGCATTGGTGACTTTGGGCACACTCAGGTCCTAGACGAAGTGCTCGGGAGGGAGGAATTCACCGCTTATACTGGGTCCTCCAACGTGCGTTGGAATGTTCCGGAACTCCTGGGTGGCGATGATGTCAAGCCCACCAAAGCCAGCGACGTCTTCGCGTTCGGAATGTCTATCCTGGAGCTTGTAACTAAGCAGGCACCCTATTCGCATAGAAAACGTGATCTCACTGTCATCATGGACATCAACGACAGACATTTACCTCTTCGTCCAACCGAACCGGAAGATGTCTCGCGGTGGATGCATAATGAACTATGGGAAGTTTTGAACAGATGTTGGTGTTTTATGCCTCAGGAGCGGATGGATCTTGTAGAAGTCACAATCTGTCTTGAGGGTCTCGCCAAGTACCTTGGGAATCATCCAAATTGGCAGACGGCAGAGGTCGATGTTGACATTGTTCAATGAGATGTTGTCCTCGCGTATATCATGATCCACGCATGTACATATGTTAACTACTTTATCAAAATGATCTCAGGGAGATCTGCGGCTTCATACTCTGCTGCACTGTGCCCGCGGCGCCTTCAACAGCCTTGCGAATCGACATCTCAAGTACTTCCCGCACAGAGGGGTCCAGCTGAGTAGTGGCCTCTTTGAATGACGCGGGTGAGCTAGCTGCCAGGGAAAGCAAGTGTGCTATGCCACTAGAATGTATCGTTGATGGAGGTATCTGAGATGGGCGTAGAAGTAACGTGATTGTTGGTAACAGTACACTCAATAGACGGGAACCTGCACGATTAAAGTTAACTACTTAAACCAAATACGTGGGTACTGGTACTGACGTTGTTCCTCTTTAGCCAGCGAGACGAGTGTCGCAAATGTTTTCCAAACCTCGTCGATCGAGATGGCCTGCTGTTCTGACACTGTTCCGTCATCCACTCGAGGTACCATTTTAGCAACATATCGGATTAGTGCGGGAAGAAGCAACCGAACGCAAGCTCGAAGAAGTTCACTTCCAGACGCAGCGATTGCAAGAGTTTTGGCGCAGTGAACAGCCACAATAGCCATCTGCTGAACGCAAAATCGCTCAGCGACACGCATTAGAAGTATTGAAGAAAAAAAATACCTGGTCGCCTTCTTCAAGCTTTTGTGATATAAGGAAGAACAAGTGCTCCACCACATCACGAGAAACCGCCACTTGTGGAGGAATGACGGTCAAGATGAGCACCGCCGCGAGAAGGTTAGTCTTGACTTTTCTCGACGAAATTAAACCTTCGCGTCCCCTGTGTTACTTTAGCCTCCCACAGACATGCAAGTATTTCGAAAGCAAACCTCATTCCATCCGCGTTCAAAAGACATGAAGACAACAAGCCATGGATAAGCTTCCTGTAACGTTCGCGGACACTAGGATGGCATGGAATGGCCAACAAGGATTTGAAAGCCGGAAGAGTGGGAGTTATCAAATCCGCTTCCGATGTTTCATCTTTCAGCAGTTCTGAAAACGGGTTATGCAAAAGAAATCGCTGATGAGATTTTCGTACCGCCATAGAGAACGCAGCCTATTCCCCGTATATCTTCTCGAACAACGAGTTCTGTCATCGAGGCAATGAGGTGGAAGGCACTCAGGGAGCCAGAAATCATTTTTGCAATATCAGACAGATCGCCTTCTGCAAGAACATGGATCATGTTGTGCAGCAGCGTAAAGGTCAAAAGACTTACTTATCGATGACGTTCCTGGATTGTGGCGAGAGTGTCGAATGGTGTAGGCAAAAATCTTGAGACAATGAGTGGACACTGAATCGGGAGGAATGGTTGTGTTGCTTTGACTCTCCTTGCTGCTGGACTGCGTGTGAATTTCTCGTGAAGAACAATTTGTGGAAGACTCGCCTGAGGTTGCCTCCAGGTACATATTGGCCGAAGTGTCTGGCAAAAGTAGTCAGGACAATGATCAGATGAATGAGTACCTCTGCCGATTCTGTCATAGCGATTCGGTGACTGAGACTCATGAATTCTTGAAAGATGGTAGGCTCCAAAAGGGCTTTCCCAGAATAGCGAGGATCGAGAAGGCATTTCAGTGCCCCCAGGCAGGCAATCACTGTGTCAACTCGTGAACTGGTGTCTGGCGAGGATGTCGCGAGTGCTTCATATATAAGGCCAAAGAGGGGGAAGAAAAGGGGCGCTGGCCCTTCTGCCGCGGAGTCGATACCATTGACAGATGATCCCACCTCCTTCCCAAGGATGGCAGCTGAAATGGATTGATCGGAGCGATTCATGGCGTTCGCGACAGCTTGTAGGATTGTTGCCCAGGAAGAAGCGTAGTACTGAAAAGGTGAGATCCGTTGATAATAATCGATAGAGATTCAAACTTACAGGAAGCAGGACTACTTTACCGAGGCTTGCATACGACGGGTCTAAAGCTACCGCTGACGCATCGTGTATGAATTCGGAATCTGCCCGGATGACAGCATAATCGCGAAGGCTCGCAATCCATTGCGGTGCCAAGATCGATCTGTATGGTTTGATGACATCCAGGAGGTACGTCTGCTCAGAACTAGCAATTTCTAGACGAGCCCACGCCGAGAGGATAGAAACCCTCAACATGCCTGACGCATTTGGGCTCAAGTCCACAAAATTGCCCATGGTTAAATTGCCAGATTCTTGAAAAGCATGAATATCTATATTGATGAGATATTTGGATATGCCTACCGTCAACCTCTCCGAGTGCTGTTGTAAGTTGTTTGAGAATTCTCCCCATCCGACTTACATCTTTGACAACGCCACAGCCGACAAATACTGCACAGGCATCGATGGCAGAAGACAGAATTTCAGGAGTGGAATCTGGAGAGAAGGCGGGAGTAAGTGCAGCCGTGATAGGTGCTTGATGTTGCTCAAGTAGGAGAGCGTCTGGATAGTCAGGATCTGGGGCCTGGCAAAACACCTATTGAAAATACATGAAAAGAAAAGTGACAGAAATCACAACAGTGCACCTACCTGAATGACGTCGCGTAATACAACCAATCCTTCTAGTCGTATCTCTGTGACATATGCCGCAGATGCTGTGAAGGCCATTTTGATCAAATCTGGGACACGAGACACAAGGAGGCCGTTCACTGGAATGCCGTGGCTACGAGCGAAAGGTATGTCGATATGCTCTCTGCGTCCAAAGCGTGCAACTAGAGTACAAATTTCGTGTAAACATCGCAGTGCAAATAGTTGCGTCCTCCAGCGTGATGTAGCAACCATGGCTATGTTGCTTTGCCGCGTGTCATCGTTTGACATGGATGCACTCAACGATTGACCTTCGTCATCCATGAGACTGTTGGCTGTATTGACCACTTTCTGGGAGGCATTTATGCGCAACATAATCCTCTGGCAAAGGTCAATCCAGGCGGATGGATTGTGAATCGCCGTCTGAAGTAGCCAACTTGAAATTACGTTTCTGACTCCATCGATTGATGGGTCACCGTCTAGCATTCCAAACAAATCCTCCACAAGGCTATCTCCACCCAATCGGGACATTGCTAGAGCGTCTTTCTGAACCAATTGATAAAGGGCATCGATTGCTGCGAGTTTCAGGCATCTTCTAGGTGAACTAAGGTGCCTTCTGAAACGATTCACGATCTCGGGGATGTCCACATGCTCGGGAGCAAACATGAGGAGATGCTGAATGCACCTTATAGCTTCCACTAGGATGGGCTCATCATCTTCCACCGAAAATTCGTGGACAAGGTCAAGTACAATTGCTCTCGTCCTTGAAGAGTCGTGAACATCAGGGCCGAGAATGGTGATGATCGCATCCAGGATATAGCAGACAAGGGGGTAAGCTTGCAAGTCACCACCGATATTGGCGTTGTTTAGTGTCCCTCCCTCGGCTTCGTGAGTGTCCGACAGGTATATTTTGAGTAGCATTCCCAGGGTACTTGACACGAATGGAGCGAAGGCCAAACTAGCAGCGTTAATGACATGTCCCAGTGCGCGGAGGGACCAAAAGTGGACCAGCGGATGAGAATCATTGCTCAATGACATGAGAAGGTTCACTGTTGTTTTTAAAATGGGGGCTGCCGCAAGTCCACCGACATGGCTGTATAGAGACCCAAACGCAAGCGCACAACCAGCTCGACCTTGGGGATCGCGGTTGCTTACAATGTGATCAACCAACACCTTGGTTTGACTCGTCAAAAAGGAGCTTCCAGAAATGTTGGCAAGGCGCCCAATGGCCTCGCTACTAGCAGATCTTAGGGCGGGGTCACCATCCACAAGAGCATCCTGCAAGTGAGATTAAGAACACACGGCCGAACCACAGGTTAAGAGTAAACTTACTTTCAAGAATGCTCCAAGAGCTGAAGTGACTTGAGAATGCCCAAGGGTATCCCTAGATTGACGATGATACGAGATCATCGCAACACGCAATGTTCGTACGATGGCAACGACGCTATTCAACATTACAGCGGTCCTCCTCCCAGCGTTCTTGTCAAGCTTCGGAGACCGATTGGACTCTATCAAGTGATTGATTGTCCGCAGTGTGGTACTTAAGTCCTGGGCTGGCAGCAACTGAGAAAATAGTTCGATGGCGGCGTCACAGACTGATGACACAGGTGGTGGAGCATTGAAAGTCCGGCTTTCCTCTTCTGACGGGTTTATCATAGAAAGTGAAAGTGTATCGTGCTCGCAAGCTCCTAGTATCGGCTTGCGTAGCTAGATGCGTAGATCAACGTCGGTAGGAAGATTCACACATGAAATGTCTTACCAGGGCACTTATTGAGTGTTCAATGCTATCACTGTTGTTGTGACCTCGGCGAGGACTTTCAGACGTTGTAATTTGGTCAACCCCGTCTTCAGATATTTCAAGTGTAGTGAGCCCATATGCATAACCATCTGTCATCTGCCAGATTGAAGTGAAACTACCCGAGGTAGACGCAATTGAGGCTTGCATTGCAGATATGTTATCGATATCGGGGCCCGCGAAAACAGCAAGGACGGACTGCAATAAGCTTGATTGGACAGAATCCGTCAAAGTGGAAGTTCCAAGAGCGGAGAAGCATTGGTATGCTCTACGTCGAAGAGAAGCCTCGCGAGTCCGAATAGATGGCCCAGTATCTTCAATCACCAAAGGTCCAGAAACTTCTTCAATACTCTGTGACAAGAACACATTTGAAAATGAAAGGGCATTTCCAAGCAGAGATGAGATTCTCCGGGCGACATCGAGAGTGGTGAGTTGGCTATTGTGAAGCAAAAAACAAAGGATTGCTCCAAGTGCACTTTCACGGACATGCAGGAGAAACTTCCACTCGGCAGCTGACCGGCCTGAAACGTTGTCTTTCGCAGTAGGTTTCGGTAATGCATTACGCCAAAGTACCAGTAGCTGAGGTAGATGTGAGCGGACAAAATTTGGTCCAAGCAGCATCAGCGATGCAATCAACGTCCAGGCAACTTCGACCTCTACTGCTGCGATATGAACATCATGATCACTAGCGCGCTTAAGGAGTTGAGTGGCGGTGTCAAGAACGCTGGCCGACACATCAAAAGACACGTATAGGGGGCGATGTGGCACAATGGCGACAAGAGCTGCCAAACCATAGGAATGACCAAGTGTCCGGCGATCAATGTCCGAAGGAGCTGCAGGAGATTGAAGGGATTCAATGTCGCGTTGTAAAGACTCCGCAATCGCCAACATTGCCTTCGGTAGACGAAGGGGGGTAGAATAGCAGAAGCAACGAAGGGTCCAACTCGCATTGACACGAACCGAGTGACTTGGATGCGTAAGCAGCGTCATCAATGGTACAGAGACAGCGTCCTACGCCGAATTTAGGAATGAACCAAAGTTACAACTTCACAGGACTTACCTGAACCGGCGGAGGTGCATTGCCTAGTTGTTGCAACAGACCTGCAACCTCCTCCAGTGCTATTGTTAGGATGGATGAAGATGGAGCCACCTGCCCCGGCATTAATGCTGGCCATCTTTTCAAGTATGATGAGGAAAGATCTTGAATTGCAGCTATTTGTCCCTGCTCAGTCAACATTCGTAGTGCTATTAGCTCCCGTAAAAGAGCGCCGACTAGCTTCCGGATGAAGAGTTTGTCATATCTCGTGGCTCCATTCTTGGGATAGGAGACGATCTCGGTCATGAGGTGACTGACAAGTAGGGAATAATTGGATTCTACAAATACTGGCCCGAGTTTTGCCAGTAGTGTGACGTAAAACATGAAGATTCCCGCACGGGTTTTGCGGCTGTGAGCTTTGTTAAACTGGGTGGAGATTTGTGATAGCATATCTCCCGGCGTCAAAAGGATTTTGGTGTTTTCGGCTGCGATATGTGCAGGAGTAGAGATATCGGAGTCTTCTTGTTCCTTCTTGCCTTTTTGTGACTGCTCTGTGATTGCCACAGCACGTTCCATTTGGGTAGCTGCGAGCATATGTCCCACTAGCTGCGCCAGCGATTGCGTTGTCACTTGGTCACTGTGTTCAAGACTTTTGACGCAGATGCTCATGATTGACTCCACATCTGCAAGTGTGACGGAGTCTTCGGGAGTATAGACGATCGTTAAAACCTGCGCACGTTTCAGTGCGCAAAATGCAGTTCACGGGCAAGAATCTCACAGCAGCAGCAGCTCGCTGGACGGGGAGAGCTTTATCCGTTAAACCGTTCTTCATTTGCTTGATTATGTCCTTTGCAAGGGAGTCGCTCAAAGCCTTCTTGGCTGAAATCAGGGTTTTCCGGAGCATAGTGAGCGCATGATATCGGACGTGCGGCGACTTTGACAGTAATGAGAGAAAAAAGCGAACAACCAGTAAGTGTTCTACGCACCGCAGATGACCTCAATGTTTTGATGGCGATGGTGGCGGTTTCAGCCATAAAGGACATAAACTGCCTCAGGCCATCAGAACGCTATTGAAAAAGAGGGACATATCGAACCTGGGAGCCGAAGGCCTCCATCAACTCTCCAATCGTCCAGAATGCGGCGCTGTAAGCGGAATGTCATTCAAAAGTACTGATAATGCGTGGATTTTGTGCTGACATCCGAGTCGAATCCTTATCCGTGGCTTTGATGTCAGAGGCTGGCTTGAGCAACACCCTTAGCGTGTCAAATAATGACCTGGATTCTCCACGATGATACAGGACTAGAAGGCATCTTGCAGCTAGATTGCGAAGCGGACGACCAGGAGAAGGATATGGCTCCGAAGGTATAAGCACCTTCAGTAGCGTAGCTTCTACTGAAGTTTGCGTCTCCTTGAGCGTTTCCTGCAAAATGTGAATTCGTAGGGAGATACAGTCATTATGAATTCACATACGGTACTCGCATGTCTGAGACTTCTCTCCAGATTCGACAACCACTGAAATAAGTAAAGCTCGCCACTGTCGGCCGTCAATTGATTCTGCCTGTTGTGTAAGTAACCTTTCACGTCTACTGCGGATTAATGTATGACATACCTCATCTAATTCTTCGATTTCCCCCTTGGATTCCATAATCCGTGACGACGATCAAATTCAATAACTTTTAGCTGCAGCACTGTAGCTTGAGGCGATGTACTACTCGGCCAGTGAGTGATGCTAGTAGTGAATTCTAACGATGGCTTATGCCAGTGGCAGTACAAGCATGTGACAAATTTAGAACAAATCATCCAAGCATTCAAGTTGCTGCATGATGTAAGCTTGATCGAGCGCACAGAACATGGATAGCGTTATCGATTCAATCATTCACATACAACATGCAGTTTGCGAGATAAAATGCGATACGGTTCGACAGTGGGGGGGCACCAGTAAATATTTGATGGATTATACAAGTAAATCAGTCAGTTTTCACGGGTGCTCGTATCACCAGGTTTCTGCCAGACGTTAACCACCATATTGCGACACAACACAATCCCATTCCGGCCCCCTGCGCTAAATGAGACATAACGATTACGGAAAGTATTGCTCTGCGGCCTTTCGTTTGAAGTAGAATGATAGCCTGATGATGTATTTTGGTCATGGAGATCGCCAGGTAAGATAACACGGCAGCTAGAAGAAATTGCCATGTTGGCGCCGAGGTGTGCCATCTGTGAGCAGTTTTATTTCTGTCAAAGAAGGCTGAAGTGTATCGTGCGGCGTAGATTATCCGGGCTGCCAGGTTGATTATGTTCGCGTACACCAGAGAGACATCACCGAAGCCCGAGGCGTAAAATCCAATCGCAGAAACAATGAATAGAACGGAAAAGCCAATGAGCCATCTGATCATTTAAATTAAGTCAATGTAAACGATGGTTAATGAAGTGCACACCTGCTTTGTCTTCGAAGATCTTGAGAAGTTGCGACGCTCGAGAAGAAAGCTTCAAGTACGCCATTGATGGCGAGGGCAGGGATGTACCATATCCAAGCTGCGAGAACCATTGGAGCGCATGTTGTTAGGTACTGTGATGGGAGCAATAGGTGTAGAAAGACCGGAAGATAGATGGTGGCAAATACAATGACAAGGACGGAACAAGCTAGTTGAATGGAGACTAGTGACAGTAAGATATCTGAGGCTTGACCTAGTGAGCGTCTGTCAAATTGTGCCCCAGTCGACGTGGACCCCGCCTCAGTCGGGGGGCACAAGGTTCTCGAAAAGTAGACCCTACATATTTCTTCTAGAGGTTGGAAAACTATTCGTGCAACTAGAGAACCTGTACAAAGGTTGGATCGTCATTATACCTGAAACAACCCAGTCTGGAACGATGCTCACCATAGTTTACAGCGACCGCGTACCCTCCTTGGTCCTGCAAAGGGCTGGACCAAGATAATATAATCTTATCTCCTTCTGTCAAGATATGTTTGACGATAGATTGCCCAGTCATAGTCAAAGACAGATGTAGACTGCTAACGTCAAAGTATTGTGAGGCAATACGATAGAATGTTGATCTGACTGCCGTGATCAGAGACTTAACCATTGAACAGGTGGATAGACTCACCTGGAAGCAGCTACTTCGTATGACTGTCGTGTAGCAAGACGAGTCGGCCAGAAGGTGGGATACCCCATCTGATACACGTAACTAATAAACACCACACTGCTGTATGCAAGTTGGCCCAGGGCAAAAGCAATGAGCGCGAATTCTCCGGAATCTGGTCTAGTCGAGTCGTAAAGGAGGACAAGATAAGTGACAAGAGTCTTGCACGTTATCCCGAGACCTTCAGCCCTCACTCTAGCTCCAGTGCGAACTTCACCCATGGCCCTGGCAAGTTGAGAGAAAAATATATGTCACTGAGATTATCTACATACCGATTATGCATGGGTTCGCTGAAGAGCTCGCTTAGCGCGGCGAACACATATGTCGATAACGCCACGTGAAAATGAGGCTGATGACGAACATCAGAGCTGGCAAGAGTAACATATGCAGCTGCCGTAGCTAGAGACACTGGAAATCCTAGAATAATCGGCAATGTAGATAGATTTGTCGAAGCAGGTACGTCGTCGTTAAAAGTTGGCCCTTGGGTATGGACGGTGGCATTCCGCGGCCACGCTCTGAGCAACGCATTTCTGACACCTTCCCGGCTGAGAAACAGTATGGTGCTTAAGATAAGTTCAAATTGAATTGCAGCAGTCCCGTATGCTTGCGGGGAGGCTAATCGAAACAGTGCTTGATTCAGAACAAAAGTCAATAGACGAGAGCCAAGTTGGAGACCCATAAGAGAGAACAAAGAGGTGAGTGAACGTTTCAACAACCCGCCATCTTGGTCTTTTGAACGTCCCAAGGATGGTTGTTGGTCCATGGGTGAGATTTTGATAAGGTATCTTAGTAGTATAGCGCGTAGCTAACCTAGGCCTTGCAGTATGGATTTACACGAATCCGACTCGAGATGTGTATTTGGTCATGTTATGAACCAGCCTCGTTACATAATATGTAAGCACTTTGAAGTGCATATTATTTATTAACAGCATGGTTTAAACTTTAGGCTACAATCTGGAATCGATTATCGGTCAGGCCTTCAAAGCTTCAAGCTTCAGGCCTCGCACGATCCAAGAGAACCAAAAAGGGCTGCTCGGCAAGCTGAGGCTCCCGGCTGTCAATATTATTGACCAGCAATACAATGCAACAGATAAGGAGCTGAGCCCCAAATTAAGAAGGAACGAACACTTATTATTTTATGCATGTAATTTATGACTCATTTGGATTCGGGAGATAACTATACATTCGTTGCAAATGGCGCCCGAATCATGCATAGGACGTCCATGAAAGAGCCTCGAGCAACGCTTGAAGAAGTACTGCATTTTTGCGCACAGAGGTCAACCCAAACACTCAATCTGGATTCTGCATATATGTACTAAATCGGATGCCAAGTCTGTTTAGGAAATCTGCGATTAGCTAATGAAAACCTCATAGGAAAATTGACATAATCGGAGACACGTGAAAAGTGCATTGGCCACGGCTCTGACACGCGCAGTGGCTCAGTGTGAGTCAGACTCAAAAGGGGAACACGTTGCTCACAGCGACGCTAGATACTTGCGACCTATTAGCTTAGTAAAAATAAAATAAAACCCAAAAACTTCCCTTTTCCAGACAGTGAACTTCGACACTCTCCCAGTGTCCATGGGGTTCGTGGTATATACAATCCACCCTAGATCACCAGTCTCCCGCTCAAGCGATGTTGGTATCTAATCTTGAGACTTGCCCCCATTATCTCCTCCTAGAATCAGGTCTTTGTAAAATACAGATGGATGCGTGATCCGTCTGTTATTAATTCACTTTTAATCAAAACATCTGGGTACAAAGGACATTCGTCTTCTATGCAAGGGGGGAAGCACGGACTAGTATACGAGGCAGTACGAGCGATTGTAGCAGGAGATGCTGACTCCATCTTTTGTGTCGGGAAGAAAGACGTCACAGTGACCTGAGATTACTTGTAGTGGCACAACGGGGGATGAATTTCAGGCGGCTGAATAAACGTCCTCACATAGTTTTCGAGACCTGACCCCGAACACACTGAATGACCCAATTTTCTGTGGCTCAGGGTGTGGCGTCTGAATGTGGACCTCAGTCCGATAGGACCATAACACTTGTGGCAAGGATCATTCTTTTTCCTATTCGAAGTTCTAGCTTTTCCGTTCATCCTGTGCGCGGAAATTGGCGGCCATTTCACTGTCAAAGAATCAGATCCTATGGAAACGACTTTGTATTTCCGCGGGACCACCTTGGGTTTGCGGAACTACTACTCTGCTGAAGCCGTCGCATCCAAATCAAGAACTGGCAAGTGACCTTGGCCAGCGAAGAAAATATATTTAGCATGGCGTGGAGCTGTGAGGAAGCAAGAGGAAGAAATTGCGGTTCGGCGCCAAGTGGGAATGGCGTGGTAGCTGATATGAATTGTGCCAGGCTTGTTTGTACTTACTGGGCGACGGGCGTGGAAGCGACTCGAAGCTCTTGATTTTTCACGCAGTATAATATTCTTCCACTTTGGTCATAAGCGGCGAGAAAAAAATCTGCAGGAGGGGTGAGGAGGAATGAGTAAGTATAAGACGCATTCACTAACATGGTGTCGACTCCAACTCGTACTTGTTCAATGGGAGCGGCGGATCACGCATGTTATACAAGACCCGCTGTGACTGTGTCATATCAGTCAAATCATCATGCATCATGACTGGCTGTTGCGCTGTCAACACTGGACGCGCTGCAGGAATGCCTGGTGATTGCTAACCCTACCCTACGTCGCTCGTCGCTTTAATCACAGAATCTCGAATCCGAATTTGTCATGAAGAATCGATGAACCGATATGCCACCAAGCCTCATCAAGCCCACGAATTCTGCAAGAAGACAGAAGTATGTTTAGGCCCTTCGATGACGGACAATCTTGAATGACGGAGCCTGTCTAGTCGATGATAGATAGCCTTGAAACAAAGGAGATCCTTTCAGATCCAGGTGAGGGCATACTATCAGTTCTAGTTGATGATCGCGTTCTTTAACTCACGTCTTTCAGAAGTTCAGAACACATCGATCATCTCAGATCTCCCCCTTGAAGCCTGTCGGACCAGAAAAATTAAATCCTTCCAAGCCATATATAGAGGTATCCGAAGTATGCATCTTTGAAGGCGACGTGCGGAAATGGATCAACGATGGTGAATCAATAGAGCAACAGTCGCGTCACAAAGGCAAGCTCTCGACCCCTGTTTTCCCCCCGCCGCAATAGAGGATAGACCCAAGCGAATACCGACCCGGATTATCATCTCGGCGGCCCTCATGTTGGGCAAGAAACGGCTCCGGTCGGCTTCTAAGATCACAGTAAGTGAATTCAATCTGTGGGCGTCTGGACGGCTTTAATACAGAATTATATGCTCAGGAATCTATCCCAGGCAAGTCTGGGCTTTACAGTCACTACTTACTAGCTGTCACCACGCTTGAACCCACTGGCCTGCCGTCATCCCCCTATTTTCGCGTGGCAGACCCTCAGGCCTCAATAATCGGTTACTGTATGAGGACGTTATCGGGTCTACGACTAACGAGACGTTGCACGGCGATCACAGCAAAAGCATACGAGTTCTGGAACTGGTAGACCTCCGGCATTCTGGTGATGTTCCAAGCATAGTCACAATGAATACTCTCAGTGACTATCGAAGCACATACGGTGCATGACACGTACCTCAATCCTGTG